CCCCTTCCCACGCCAGCTGCGCGGGCTTCTCCCTGCAGGTCATCGAGGAGCTGCGGAAGCTCCTGGACTTCCACGAGAAGCAGACGGGGGAGAAGCTGCCCTTCCTGGGGTTGGCCCTCAGCTCCAGGAAGAACCTCTGCGTCCACCCCGAGGTGCCTCTGCCTGCTCGAGGGCCAGGGTGGGCGGTGGGTGGGGCTGACCCTTGCTGGGCAGAGGAGGCTCAGGGAGCCCCCCTGCCCGCCTGCCGGTCCTCTTGGCTGGTCCTCTTGGCTGCGTCCTCGAGGCAGGCCTCTCCCTTGCTCTCCTTTCCTCCAAAATGTGCTGCCGGGGCCCTCCCTCTGCCTCCTCCTGATTCGTCTCACGACAGCCCTGTGAGGTGGGAGCGGCAGGAGCGAGGTCTTTGCTCGGACAGAATGGCTGGGCGGGCTCCCTCGCCTTGGTCCACCGCCTGCGTTGCTGCTAAGATTTCCCTGGGTGACGACCCCTGAATTTCTGGGCGGCAGGGAAAGTGGGGTGAGGTGGGCAGCGTGCCCCTTTTGCTCAGACGGGGCTTTGGCCCCTCATTCCTTGCCATAGGTGAGCAGCCTGCGCTTTGGGAAGGAGGTGGACGGCAAGTGCTTCAGCCTCACCGCCTCATACATCCGGGCTCAGCACCAGCAGGATGGCAGCGTCCCTTCTTGCCGTTTCTTTGAGGTGTGGGGTGAAGTGGACAGGGGTGGAGGCGGCTGAAACCCCTCGGGCACCAGGGAGGAGGAACGGGTTGGCGGGAGGTCCAGGGGGAGCCGTGGACTTTCTTCCTAGGGGCAAAAAGGAGCCAGACTGAAAGTTGGGATGGACGGCACCAATTCTGCTTCTCCCTTTTCTCCGTCAATCTGAAATTCAGGAAGAAAATTTGCAGAAAACTTTGCAGAGACAGTTATATAAACATGCACGTCCGAATGCACTTTTTCCTCAAAGTGTGTTTTGATGTAAAAAGCACCTTTTAAGAATTTGGGAAGTCAAAAGCCACTTTGGCGTGTTTGTAAGCTCAGGGGAAGGAGATCCATTCAGCCCCTGCTGTGATTCCCTGCAGGAATTTGATGCTCACGGTCGTCAGGTGCCACTTCCATATGGCGTCTATAACCTGGATGACTTGAAGGCTTACGGTCAGCAGAAGGGCTGGTGCCCCTACTTCCTTGCCCGCTACTCGGTAAGGTGGCTGGCCTTGCTTGCACACACAAGCCCCCTCCCCTCTCTGAAGAGCAAAAGGGATCTCTTTTGTTAGATGGGCTGCTGTCGGGAAAAGACCTTGCATGTGTGTGTGAATGGCACAGAATTGTTGATCGTGCAAAAGGAGAAAGCCGCTTCCTCTCTCGTTATTGCAAAAATTGGAATGGAGGTTGAACTGGTTGGTGTGTGCTGGAGTATCAGAAGCCGCACAGTGGCTGGGAAAGGCTTGCTACGGCAGGGGTGGCGTTTCAGGGGTTTTGCCTCTCCCACAGTGAGCTAAATTCAACAAAGTTCTATGAATAGGAAATTCAGCACCGTGAACTAAGTGTGTCACATTGTTTGGTCTGCCTCTTCTATTTTGGGGCACAAAATGCAAATTGCCCACGAAAGTCTTTTCTGCATGCTGCCCTGCAGGTGGGACTGTTTCACTCTGAAGTTTGCCTGTGTGATCTGAAAGTGTGCGTAGGTAGCTTTGCCATTAAAAGAAACAAGTACATATTCTTATCTACTTTACAGGCAAGCACATTAGGACCTGAATGTAATTGGAAAAATGGAACCGGAGTTAGTCCTGTTATCTGTTCTTTGAGAGACAGATACCCTCCCAATGAACAGATAAATCCCAGCCGACAGCTCTTCGGATTTCCTTCACTCTCCTGTCCAAGTCCTAATAAAGAAACCCAGCCCTGGTTAGCTTTTTGAGGTCAGCCGAGGGCACAGTTCAGTTTCCCCTTGCCCAAGATATGTTGTCAAGCTCTGCTCTGCTCTTTCTCCCCCTGTCGGATCAGATCCTTCATGCCAATATTGTGGTCTACAGCTACCACTATCTCCTGGACCCCAAGATTGCTGACGTGGTCTCCAAGGAGCTGGCCAAGAAATCCGTGGTGGTTTTCGATGAGGCTCACAACATCGGTACGCGTGAGAAGGGCAGGTTGGCTGCCTGGGCTGGGAGGTCCTTCTTTAGGCCTGCCTTGGGCTGTGTGATCTTGTCATGTTAACAGAGTCTGTGGAACTCTCTGCCCCTGTCTACCAGCAGCACATGATGTGGGTGAAGTTGAGCAATGGGGTCTGCAGGAGGCTCTTCCCATCGCCTGCTTCCGATCCTTTTTCAGAGAATAGGGCGGAGGAATGATCTTATGCCCCAAGGGCTCCACAAAGTCTGGATTCATCTGGTGGGCTAGGCTAGTCCAAGCGGGGTTGGGTTCTTGTGGCTGAAAATGTTTTGGGATCCAGCCCCTTCCTTTGGAGACTAGACTTTAACTTGCGTCTCAATCGGCTTTATTTGCGTGCGATGTGAACTCAGCCAAATGGTCTGTAAGGAAACCAAGTTTTTCGGAGGCTTTCTGTGGCTGTTGGGACCTGGGTGTCATCTGATTTAGAGTTTTAAGGTTTTAATTGCAATTGTGCCCTTGTTTGTTTTTTCTCCTCTTAATTACCCCAACCACTGAGGGTCTCCTTGATTATGATGGGGATTAAAAAATAAAAATGGACAGCACCAAACTGTGTCTTGTCCGGGCAAGCGAGTGAAACAAGGTGTGTCAGAAATAGCAGGCTTCTTGGAAAACCCTCCTTGGGGCTCGCTGGACCTCGCTTTTCTTTTCCTTAACCCACAGACAACGTCTGCATTGATTCCATGGGGGTCAACATTACACGCAAGATCCTGGATCGCTGCCAGGGGAATGTGGCCACGTTGCAAGCTGCCATCCAAAAGTGAGCCAGGAGTCCCCGCTTCCTTCTCCACTTCCCAACCTTCTTCTCTCTCAAAAGGCCAACATTCTGTGCCACTTACACAAATGACATTAACAAGGTGGGGGCAAGGGCAGGAGTCTCTTCCCTGGCACAGCCCCCTCTCCAGGGTCTCAGCAGGCATCACTGCCGTTTCATACGTAACTTCGCATTCACGTGGGCTAAAAACTCGCTTTCTTTGAGTTCTAAAGCCGAGAGGTTCAGGGAACTGAATCTGGAGCCTCTAAGAAGCTGCCTTCTGCTGCCTGGACTCATGTGTCGTACTAAGCTGGGTAGCACTCCTTTGCCTGTGGCTTAGTGTGTTAGCCGGTGCTGGAGCTTTGGTTTCTAAATCAGGGCTTATGACAATAGGCACGTCCAGTCAGGAGTCTGTGGGCTCTAGCTCCGAGCGCCAGTCCTGGAGCAGGGCCTGCAGACCACCTGCCTTCCCTCTCCCATGTGCTCCTTTTCCAGGATCAAGGAAACGGATGCTCAGAAGCTGAAGGAGGAGTACCAACAGCTGGTGCAGGGGTTGCGGGAGGCCAACGTCGCCCGGGAAACAGACGTCTATTTGGCCAACCCTGTGCTGCCGGACGAGATCCTCCAGGGTACGTCGGTCCCTCTGTGGGGTGGGAGAAGTGGAGTTGATGCTTTGATCCTCGTGGGGCGGGAGAGAATGCGGATGCCCCCCACATCCCTCTTCCGGTTATCCGCCTTTCTCCGCTTGGCTCACAGAGAGGCGTTGGTTGCTCTTGCTCCATGGGGCCGCTCTTGTATTCTTTGAACCCGTGGCCTTGTTCTTCGGGGGGGGCTCAGATGGGGCAGGGGCGCGGGGAGCCCTGAGACCTCCCTCTGAGCCACTGCCCTGACGGGGCCTCCCGGTGCTCCCCTCGGGCAGAGGCTGTGCCTGGTAACATCCGAACAGCAGAGCACTTTGTGGCCTTCCTGAAGCGCCTCTTGGAGTACCTGAAGTCCCGGCTGCGAGTCCATCATGTGGTCCAGGAGAGCCCCCCGTCCTTCTTGAAGGACATCTTCGAGAAGGTCTGCATCGAGCGCAAGCCCCTCCGGTAAGCGTGGCAGGGCTCTCACGCTGTCTGGGAGGGGTTTCCCCGAGTGGCCCGATCCGTTGTATCTTTCTGGAAGGGCAAGTGGGGAGGAGGAGAGACATTCTCCTTGCCCCGTGAGCAGAAGGGCCACCCCGCCATCCTCGCCCACTGCTGAAGCCGTGCTACTGAACATTGGCCTGCCGCTCCAAGGTGACGAGCAAGGGGGGGACTGTGAGGAAGAGGCCTGGTGCCACAGGCGGTCCGGGGGGCGCTTGGGGCAGCTGGGCCTGGGGCTCCTCGTGCAAGGCTCGATTCTTGGTCCTTGGTAGGTTCTGTGCCGAGCGACTGCGCTCCCTCCTTCGCACGCTGGAAATTGCAGACATCTCTGACTTCTCCCCCATTACACTCATCTCTCACTTTGCCACCTTGGTCAGCACGTACTCCAAGGGTAAGGGGAGCCCTCTTTGATGCAGCGTCTCAGCTCTGGATCAGCCGGCCCCTCTGGAAGGTTTCCTTAGAGCTTCCCGGGCCTTTTAATTTCTTCACATGCAAGGCACCTATTGGGAGCTGGCAAGGCAAAATGTGGGAGGAAACTGGAAGATACCCAACGTGACCCCAGAGGAGATTGGGGAAATTAGGGGTCTGCTTTGGGGAATTTGTAGAAACGCAAATTGAGGAAGGCCCAAATAAGCATGTAGAGGAACCAGCTTTGTGAAGGAAAATCCTCGTGGTTTCTGTAGAGGTAAATCCTGCTCTGCCAGCCTTCTGGACTGTTTAGGTGTCAGTGCAAACACAGGGAGAGGGGACCCTGTCAGTATCATGTGCTTGGATTTTCGAAGAGCTCTTGGCTGGGTTCCTTGCTCACGAGCAGCTCAGAGGCATCTCTTGGCCTCTTTGGGAAACAAACTCCTGGACTGAGGTGGGCTTGTCTGATCCCGTGGGGCAGCTGCTTTTGGCTTTCTTTAGCCATAAAGCGCAGAGGAGACCCCCCCGAGGCCGCCCATCGCTGCGTCTTCTCTCTTTTTATGCTGCAGGATTTACCATCCTTATAGAACCCTTCGACGACAGGACACCCACGATCCTCAACCCGATCCTGCACTTCAGGTGTGGGGCCTGGTGCCGCCCCAAGGCGCTGGCTGGCTGGAATTCTGGGAGTTGCGGTTCAGCCTTTGGGGAGGGCCACACTGGACGTCTGCTTCCAGAGCCAGCTGAGGTTGACTTGAGGGGAAGAGAGGATCTGTCTGGCCTTCACTCTTCAGAGTGTGGAAGGATAACCCTTGCTGGCTTCAGCTGCAGTTCCAAAGCATCTGGGGCTGAGCAGGGAGGTTGGCCCCTCTCCCAGTGTCGCGTTCTCTTCCAGCTGCATGGATGCCTCAATTGCTATCAAGCCCGTCTTTGAGCGGTTCCAGTCGGTCATCATCACCTCAGGAGTGAGTGCTCGACGGGGCCTTCTCAGCCAGCAGCAGACCCCATCTGCTGCCCCAAAGCTCGGGGCTGGGTTGCGTGGGGAGGCCCTGTCCTGACTGGGTGTGTCCTCCCTTGGATACAGACCCTTTCCCCGCTTGACATCTACCCCCAAATCCTGGACTTCCGGCCAGTGACCATGGCTACCTTCACCATGACCCTTGCCCGGACCTGCCTCTGCCCAATGGTGAGTGCCAGGGGCCAAGACGAGGGGGACTGCCTTCCTTCCTCCCTCCCTCGATTGAGTTTATATCCCATTGCGATCTCGCCACTCTTGGCAGTGTGCAAGGCAGGCAGAGAAAAGCTGGAAACATCCACGGTAAGATTAAAACAGAAAAGAACGAAATAAGGAAATCATGAAATTAACCGTATATGCCGTGACAAACTAAAAAGGAAAAGATGGCAGAGCACCGGGGGTTGCAGGCTCCCAGATACCAACCTAAAGGGCTTTATTGGTTCTCGATTGTACCTGGAACTGGATCAGGAACCGGCGCAGGCCCATTTCGGTCTGGGGGTGACCAGGGGCACAGGGCCGTTTCCCCACATCGGTTTCCCTTTCAGATTGTGGGGCGAGGGAATGACCAAGTGACCATCAGCTCCAAGTTTGAGACACGTGAGGACATTGGTAAGGGCCTTGGGTGGGGAGGGGGAGCAGAGCCCCTGCCGGAGGCTCCTCCATTCCCGGCGGCAGGGGTGCCTCCCTTGGCGCATCCGGTGGGGGAGGGTGGCGCTGAGGCCGCTTGCAGTTTGCATGGAGGCACGTGACTTCCTGGGAAGGGACGGGCCCTGTGAGGTTTTGTGGGGCAGCCCCCTCCCTCGCCCTCCCCTCCATTTTCCCCATTGCTTAGTGGCGGGGCTGGGAGCCCGAAGGGAGCAGGTGTCAGCCCCACCTTGGCTTCTCCGGCAGCCGTTATCCGCAACTATGGCAACCTGCTGCTGGAGATGTCGGCCGTGGTCCCCGATGGCATCGTTGCCTTCTTCACCAGCTACCAGTACATGGAGAACATTGTTGCCTCGTGGTATGAGCAGGTACCTCAGGATGCTGCAGCCAGACCCTGCGTGCTGCGGCTCCTCATTTATTTTGCTCTGGGCTGTCACTAAAAGGGACTTCAAGGGGACTTCTGGCAAAGTGGTGCTGTGGAGGAGCACGGGGTCCCGATGGGTTTGAAATCCCTGAGGATTTCCAGAGGGGACAACTCCCAAAGGCTTCTGAAAAGGGGACCGCGTGGCTTCCAAGGCCGGGTCTCTTGGTCAAGCTTGCTGGTGAAGGCAGGTGGGGGGCAGCCTGGCCGCTGTGTGGACCTGAGGGGGGCTTCAGTTCCTCCCTGCCCAGGTGAGCTGCAGCCCCACAGCTCCTCTCACGCTCCTGCCGGGCTCTTTCTCCAAGAGCGGGCCTGAAGTACTTTTAAGAGCTGGATCCCAGCGGTTAACTTGGAGGCCATTCCCGCAGAAGCACATCAAGCATTTCTGGGGAAATAGAGCGGAGCCCTGGCACGAAGTGGGCGAGACATTCTGCAGCTCCCACTGAAATCGCCCGGCTGCCACTTCATGCTCCGGAGAGGGTGGTTGGGGGAGGCCGGGAAGAGCCGAGTCCTGGCTGCAGAGTCTCTGCACGGCCTCAGGGTGGGCTTCTCTCCCCTCGGACTACGCCAGGGGATCTTGGAGAACATCCAGCGGAACAAACTCATCTTCATCGAGACGCAGGATGGAGCCGAGACGAGCGTGGCCCTGGAGAAGTACCAAGAGGTGGGGGGCTGGCTGGGAGGCAGCTTGCTGAAGGAGGGAAGGTCCTCTCCCCAAGCCCAGTCTGGTGGCTGGAGTTGCTTCCCTGCCTGGAGGAGGTCAGTCTGCTGACTTTTTGTGCGTTTGGGGCAAAAAGATCTTGTGGGTGATGAATAAGGGGATCGGTTGGTTTATACCCCAGGCCTGCGAGAACGGCCGAGGAGCTATCTTGCTGTCGGTGGCCAGGGGGAAGGTCTCCGAAGGAATCGACTTTGGTGAGTGCCTGAGCCCCCTCCCCTCCCCTCCTCCGGGAGAATGAGGACCAGCAGCTTTGAAGGGGATCCAGAACAACCAACGCCTGTCTTGCGGTTTCAGCAGAACCTGGCCTGCTGCTCATTTTGCTCATGAACATTTTGAAATTGTAGGGAAAAGCCGTGCTTAGATGCAGTGTTGGTCTCCCTCCACCCACACTTTCTCCATTCCCCAGTTCACCATTACGGGAGAGCCGTGATCATGTTCGGGGTTCCCTACGTCTACACCCAGAGCCGCATCCTGAAGGTGAGCCCCGTGTGCTGCGGCCTTGGTGATTCCTCCTCCAACTCTCTGAGGGCTGCTGGCAAAAGAGCCTTCATTTCCTTGTGGGGGCAGGCCTGGGAGCCCCCTTCCATCAGTTGGGTGGGGGGCTCCCATGGGGCAGAAAGCACATGTTCTTGCACCCACTCTGTTTCTGTTGCTTGGCAGTTTTCCAGAAGCTGCTGAGGGAGGAAACACGCTTCTAGCCACACCTGACGTAGCCCCGCACCACCTGTGCTAAGGTGGGGGGGACTAGGGGAAGACCCTCACTGTCCCTTCTCCTGCCCCAGGCTCGGCTGGAATACCTGAGGAACCAGTTCCAAATCCGTGAAAATGACTTCCTGACGTTTGACGCCATGCGGCATGCGGCGCAGTGTGTGGGCCGGGCCATTCGTGGCAAGACGGACTATGGCCTCATGGTCTTTGCAGACAAGGTATGTCGAGGAGGGCTGTTTGCTGCTGCCTCGAAGGCTGGGCAGAGGCTGACCCCTTTTCTCCCCCACAGCGCTTTGCCCGGGCAGACAAACGGGGCAAGCTGCCCCGCTGGATCCAGGAGCACATCACAGACGCCAACCTCAACCTGACGCTGGACGAGGCCGTGCAGGTAGCCAAGCACTTCCTGCGCCAGATGGCCCAGCCCTTCCGCAAGGTGAGCCGGATCGGGGCAGAAGGGACGGACTCCGGGAGGGTTGGGCTTCAGCCGCCGCGGCTTCTCTTCCCTCCTGGCTGTTAAAGCTGTAAAGCCCTCAGTGGGGCACTGGCATCTTGTAGGAAGAGACCGTCACATTAAGCCGTGATGTGGTTTGCAAGTTGCGCAGGCGCAGCAATTCTTTGCTCAGTCTGAATTTCGGCAGTGGCACCTTCTCCTACCAGGTTGACCTACTAACTGTAATGCCCGGCACCTGCCCTCTTGCCAGCCAGCAGGGGCGCTCCTGGTGGCTGGGGGGGGCACTTATTTGCAGGGAGGGCAGCTTTGACTGTGGTGCGCCTCTCTAGGGCCCCGTCTCAACATGGCAAGAAACTTCTGCCAATTTTGACCCATCGGAGCCAGACGCAGCTGATGCCGCAAAAGGGGGCCTCAGGCCTAGACCCGACCCCCCAGGCAGCCCCTCTTCCCCCCGCACAGCCCTCAGAAAAAAGGGGAGCAGAGCCTTCTTTTCTTCCCTTGGCTTTGGCAGCCGAGCAAGGGAATGATGGGTGTTTTATTGGGAGTGCAACTCCCAGAATGGCCAGTTCTCAGCGCCATGAGAATCCTGGGAGTTCTTACAGCATTGGCAAAAACTACATTGGGAAATAAGTGAAATGTTGGTGCTGTAAATAAGCTTTGAAATACCCTGCGCCAAAGCAAACACCTCACCCACCCCCGCAGCAGCAGCAAATGGAGGAACTGCCATTACTGGTTCAAGGCGGGTTTGGTTGTCCTTGCAGGGCGGCAGTGGGCATCTCGCCCCTTCCCCCCTTCACTCCCGCTGTCTCTCCAGGAAGACCAGCTGGGCCTGTCACTGCTCACCTTCGAGCAGCTGCAGTCGGAGGAGACCCTGCGCAAAGTGCAGGAGATCGCGCACCAGGTGTGAGCGGCAGCAGACGGCGCCGGCAACGCCAGCGCGCTCTGCAGGGAAGGACCCCCAGGCCATCCATGCTGCGAAGAGAAGAGAGGCCACCCAGAGGGCATTGCTTTTGGCCTGGACCCAAGCCTCTTAGCCCTCTCCCTCCCTCCCTCCCTCCCACTAATCCTAATTTCTGGACTAAGGTTTTAATAAAGGGGATCGGTCTGTTGTGCCCGAGTGGTTTTCCTCTGCGTCTGTCCTGCAGCTCTCCCTTCCAGCCCAAGAGGCAGAGAGCGGCTGAGCTGCGCAGCTGAGCCCTGGGGAAAAGTCCCTTCCTCTGAAGCGGGGAGTTGGTGTGGGAAGGACTCAGTTCTCTTCACACAAAGCCTCTTTTGGGGAACACGGGAAGGCAGGCTTGGCCCACCAGCTTGCAGAGACCCCTCTCCCCCACCTCCAGAATCAGTGTCATTCTTCATTTCCAGCAACCTTTTATTTAAGGGTGGGGGCAGGTGCTTCCATTGCATAAATAGGACTGGCTGGACAGGAACCGCAGCAAGGGTTGCTGCTCCTGCCCAAAGAGTTTAAGGCAGTAGCGAGGTGGGAGAAGCTTCCCCCACCTTGCGATGCTTTGGGGATGGGCAGTTGCTGCTCCACTTCCTGAGAAATAGTCCTCTGCAAATTGGGTGGGGCGCTCCCCTCCCCCGCCACCAAAAGGAGGACTTTCCATGCACGCGGGAGTCAGTCCCGGGAGCGCTGGCGCCAACAGGCGATCCTCGGCCAGCAGGAGCGAAGACCAGTCCTAGTGCGAATTGCTGTGCGTGAGGTCCTGGATGCTGGCGCTCAGGTTCCTGGTGGGCTGCTGCAGCACGGAAACAGAAGTGGCGCCCCTCTTTTAGGCTCTCTTCGGTAAGTTTGTGGCTTGCTGTCACAAAAGCCCTGTGCGCTAATGCTTGCTCTGCGGGGCTTTTTCACTTGGAGTTTGTGGTTCTCCCTGGCTGGGTCTGTGCCACAGGCTGAACCAGATTACCAGGCTACCTTGGCAAACTCCATTGGGCCTCACGCTCACCAGGTGTCCTGGGTTCAACTAGGGTTTTTTTGGTGTGTCAAGTCAGCTTTTTGACTCTGGCGGCTGCCTGGACTAGTCCCTGTAGTTTTCTTGGCAACATTTTCAGAAGTGGCTTGCCGCTGCCTCCTTCCTGAGAGGAAGGCTGGGGGGGGGCAGCCGAAGGTCACCCAGCTGGCTTCGTGCCTAAGCGGGACTAGAGCTCGCGGTCTCCCGGTTTCTAGCCTGGGGCCTTTCACTGGCCTGGCCTGGCCTGGCTTGGCTGTCAACTAGCATGCTAAGCGGTAAAACAAAACCTAACCAGTTAAAGCTGTCCCAGTCTGTCCTGTTGTGTGAACGCAGCCTCTCCTTTTGGCCCCACTTTCCTTGGAACGAAAGGTCCCCCTTCCCCTGCCCAACAGCCGCTTTGCGCTGCCCCGGCCACGTGAGCCCAGCCAGAGAAGGAGCCCTGCGTAAGCCCTCAGGTTCAGCCGGGTGCTGGGCCAAGCCATCAGCCGGCCGGCCGGAACCATCCCTGGGGCCAGCGGGGATGTCCAGCCGCTGCCCTGGGCCTGCAGCCCAGAGTTCTGCTGCTAAGCGTGGTCCTTGCGGGCCCCAGACTCACCGCTGGGGGTGCAACAGCGGTCCCCTCATTCACATGCAGCATATTGAGGGACGTGGCCCGTTTGACCCTGGGGAAGAGAGGCGCCTGTTACTCTCCTGCCTTGCCGCTGTGGCACACGGCTATGCATTGACCTGCCAAAAGGCAAGGCTCGCAACAGCTCCCGGGGAGCTCAAACTCACGCGGGGGCTGAAGCTTCCTTGGGCTGCCCGACCGCTTCCCCCTTGAGTTTGGAGACCAGCTTCTCGCTGCCGCGTTTGAGGGACTCCCGGAGCCGAGAGAAGGAGCTGCTGCGCCTCATTGCCTCCTTCCGAGAGAGACAGAGAGAGGGAGGGAGGGAGGGAGAGCACGGGCCCAAAGCCTGGGGGGCTTCCCCATCCCCTCCAGCCACCTGCGATCCGAGAAGGAAATGGAGGTAGCCATGGCCTTGCCCTGGAGCCCTCCTTTACCATGGGGGTCTGTGTGAGAACCTCACCACGCCCTCCCTCCGTAGAATCCAGCCAGAGGGTGCAAAGAGGAGGAAGCAGTGCCAAAGCGAAGCAGTTTGACAGTGGGTGCTCCGTGGGGGGAGGGGGGGGAGAAAGGCTCCGAGGTCTTACCTGCCCTTCCCAGGTGCTCTCAGCTCCTGTCCGGCTATAACCTGAAGATGTGGGGGAGGGGAGGGGTTCAAGAGTGCATTCACCTGCAAGGACAAAGGCGCCTGCCCTGCCCTCCTGCGGGCAAAGGGGCTGCCCCTCTTACCGCCCCTGGGGGTGTCCAGCTCCTGGTCGTGCGAAGAGAGGATCTCCTTGTACAGCTCCTCGGCCTGCTCGTACTTGCCCTGCTTCAGGTAACAGGAGGCCTGGCCCAGGGAGAAGGCAGGGGAGGGGGAGGTGAGCGCCCTGCCCCCCCCCGCTTCCCCAAGCGCCGGCGGGGGGCGAGAAGCCCACGGGAGAAAGCGGCCGGTGCGC